GATTAAAGCAAATCTTTTAATTTCACAATCAGGGAGACATTTAAATGTGGTTCTATCGGAACTTTACTGTGTCCTGTTCTCTTGGCAGTTAGTATTGCATTCTCTTAATTGTAAAGATGAAATAGCCAGTGTTTCGAGCTGCGCATCCGGAGCCCAGATAATGTAACTTGCAGAAGATACTTTGAGACTAGTATTTGCATGCCGTGGGCTAATCTGTATCTATATCATCCATGTCTCTTTGTTTATGTCTCTGTCATGTCCCTGTCCCTGTCCTATACATAGCTCTCTGCCCATCTGTCTACTACCCATCTACAGTCTTATGACATGACTATTTGTTTCCTTTGGGCCAGTGCAAGTTTTGATGCTGCAAATAGAGGAAAATCTAGCCTTGTTCATGGGACTTCTGTGCCAAGACAGATGCTGACAATGGAATATGGACCTATTGTCCTCCTCTACCCCCTTCCTTCCAATGGCTGGCATCTGATGGGGTATCATGTCTTAGAATCTGGACTGCTCTTGGGATGGGAAAAGGTTGGCCACATTTGATAATGTTTATGTACAGAGCTAGTAACCAGTATGTGAAGAACTGCTCTCACCATCTAGTGATGCTAATACTTTACAGTTTCCTTGCACAATAACATAGAAATAAATTCACCACTTTTAAATCATTGCCTATATTTACATGTATATTGTTTTAAAAGTCATTTTCTAATGTGATTATAGTTCTGTATTTCTGTATTTAACAACAGGGTATCAAGTAACTTGTGCCCCTTCATTATCTGCCCTACCACACACCGTTTGTCTGTTTGGGGAATGGGGATTTTGAAAGACTGCGCTGACAGACCTCAGATTACTTGTGCCAGTCAGTAAACAGGGTCTTCCCAGCAGCCGCCTGTCTGAAATGTGTCATACCAGAAGGCCACATTGGTAGTCCCTGTCGTTCCAGAGGATGTGTGACTGGAGGTTATCTTTTTCTTAGTAGTAGTTTCAAAACTTCGGTCGCTTGCATGACGCCATGATTTTATTGCCAATATATTGACTTAGTCTTATGCTTTGAATTCTTTGGCATCATTGCAAGTCGTCACATGACCTAGCACAGGCTGGAGGAGCTGGTGTCAGCACTCTGGGGCATCTGTTAAGATTACACAGTGTGCATCTCTGTGTGATCTCTATGGGCGCTGCCCCTAATTCACTTACCCTGGCGAAGCACCCAGCCTAGCTCTTTGTTCTAACAAGAGCAATACTTCCGGAAGGCTCACTCACCCTCTCAGACAACCACAGCTTGGTGACTCTATTTAAGCAGTCAGGACAGTGTGACTGCAGATCTCCCCCAAAATTCCTAGTATTATTTCCCCTGAAGTCTGTTAATATTTGGGGCAAGCACTTTTTCTTCCGTTATACCTTATCTTACCATAGACTGTACACATGGCTTCTGACATCACTTTAAGTGAAATTAGCTCGTGTTGCAGAGAGCGTTTGGCTGTTGATATGCCATATGAGTGAGGAAATGCAATGGTTAGAGTTTGATCAACCAGTCACTGAGAACTTTTCCCATGGGTACCAGAAAGTTTGATTCTTGTTAGAAAACTTCTAAATTTCCAAATCAAGCCTTTTGTTCTTGAGGTAACTTTATATATAATATATTGATAAAGTCAGAAACATGTTAGAAGTAGATTCATTTCATTTAATAGTTATTTTAAAAACCAATCCTTTTACCCTTATATAATTTTCTTTCCTTTTTTCTCTTTTTCTTTTCTTTTTTTTTTTTTTTTTTGAGACAGTTTTCATTATGTAGCTCAAGCTGGCTTGGAATTCACTTTAGCCCAACCTGGCTTCGAACTCTTAGTGTTTTTGCTGTTCTGTCGTCTCCTGGGTATGAGGGCCCACACACTGCTAAATAGTGTCTTTGATAATCGGCTCGTAGGGTAAAAACACCTTTACTAGTTGAAGTTACATTTGAGAGTTCAGTGTTGGTCCAAGTCCTTTGCGTATTACCTTAAACCAAACAGTTTCACGAACTGAACTTCCCAGTAGGCACAGATAAATGTCGTCCCTCCTTATTCCCTGTCTTGCCCAGTCATAAACATGCTGCTTCTCGTCTGCATGTGTGTTCTAGTATGATCAGTTTACAAACGTGTTTATAATTCTTTTAGTTGGAACTTTTGAAGAATCTCTTAAATATATTGGACATTGAATAGAGCAAACTAGAATCTCTAGGCAATTTTGTAATTAATATATGTTTCATACTAAAGTGCGGCTAAGCCTGTGGCATGACAAAAAGGAAAAATAACCAATTCAAGAAATAAACTTTAATGTGTTCTACCTTGGCCATCAGAGAACATGGATATTTATAATGGTGCCAATTCTCCTTTTTTATGCAGCTTGAACCTGGTATTTTACAACTAAATATTCCCCAATGATTGGTAACATACCTGCCTAAACATGTTTGTTCCTATTAATATGAATAAAATTTATACATATATTTAAGCACTTAATAGTATCTTCTATATTCTAGGATCTAGGGTTTGGGTAATACACCTTGTCGTTAAGAAGTTGATAATATTAAACAAAAAGTTCTAAAGTATTGAGCATGTTTTTCTATTTTCCTTTACCTTTTTCATCATAGCTGGCCCAGCTTTACAGAGAAGATGGTATCTATATAGCACTATAAACAAGAATAGATTTGCTGGGTTGCAGGGATATGGGGCCTTCAGCCAAATGAAGTGATAGTGTGTAGTACACTATTGGGGTTCCGTAGCTGTTATAGGCAGAAGCCCCAAGAGCTCATCCCTCTAAAGATACAGGGATGTGGGATCATAAGCTAAAGAGTTGTGTGTGTTGGTTCTGTGTTGCGCTGTGGCACTGAAGGAAATGTAATGCATTTGGCTTTTCTAGGGTTGTCAACTCCTGTTGAGCAGCAAAGTAATAAGTATGGGAGTTATAGTGACGTGGATACAGTCGTGAAGGACTCATGAAGACAGCAGAGAAGCAGCGTGTGTAGATTGTAGACACTGGTCTGGGGAAGATACGTAGCATGGGGGGAGGAGGACAGTGCACAGTCATGCAGGACTTTATTCCCCTTTGGTGCAGGGTTTTCCACTCTTGTGAAGACTAAGGAATGAAGCGCTGTATGAAGGTGGCAGACAGATGTGCATAGGTCTAGAGAAGGAGGAGCCAGTCAAGGTGGAAGCTTGGGGACGTTTGACCCTGGGGAGAGTGGCAACAGAAAATGTAGTCAGAGAAGCAGGACTTTCAGGGAGAGCTCAGACCTCATGACGACTGTTTGAACAGAGAAATAAATGTGACACATAAGATCACCCACCACTGGGCGAGTGAAACCCGAGGAGAAGAGGAGTCAAGTGGAGGCGGCTCAAAGGCTGCTGTGTGAGAGAGGGAGTGGTCCAAGGCTGTGCAGAGATGCCTAGGCAGAAGGAGGGCCTGCAGGACCCTGGACTTTATAGAGGTGATGGTCTGCACATGCTTTCAGTGTGTATTTGAGTACATTCACATATGATTTCACGTGTGTATGTGTGTTCCTTTTGTGTCCTCGGGTAAGCTCAGTTCCACCGTAGTAAGTAGTCGTTTGTATACCCTCGCTTTTGGAAGTCACTTTATCACTGTTCTCAGGGTGCTGAGACAGTAGTGTTGCTTCTGCCCTTGGAAGCATGTGGTCCAGTGGTTCCAACATACAAGGAAATACAGTGCTTCGCAGACAGGGATGGTGTGTAGAGGTAATTCCGAAATGATGATGCTAGTGTGTAAGTGAGCAAAGGTGGATGTGGCGCCTCTGGCTTTCCTGGGGGCCTGGTGGCTGATGAAGGGTTAAGCAGTGTGGGCTGAAGAGGAGGTGAGCACATGTGCTCTGTGTTCATGCTGTGGAGGCTCCAAGAAACTGACTGCTGGGCAGAGACTGAGCGTTAGACAGAGTACCGACTTGCCAGGACTGGACAGACTGACCTTGCTTCGGCAGAGCTGAGCTTTAGGACCTGAGGACTCTTCTTGAACACTGTGGTTAGTTACTTCTTCAGTCCCTGTTAGAAACTGCAGTTTTCTGTTTTAGCATTTTCGAAATATAAAACCCTGTTAAGTAGCTAGAATTTTCTCTGAATACTATTAAGAATACTAGGATTAATCCTAAAAAAATAAATTCTACTACATAGTCATGCTTTTAGAACAGATATCTTCATAGCCTCTATTCTAATTTCCAAAATTACGAAGGTACCATTTATGTCCTGCTTCTTTTAAAAAACTGACTGTAATCACCTTTACTCTGTGTTGTTGGCGACTTGGAAGGTGCTGGTAAGAAAGCCTGACTTTCTTTACCGTGTTCAGAAGGAAAGCAACCCCAAACATACACACTTTTATTTTTGTAACTAGTTAAGTTTTTGTGATTTTTTTTTTTTTGTCCTGTCGAAAGGGAAAGTAAGCTGGTGAGCAAAGCTGCCCTGTTCTAAAGAGTGGTCTCCTAAGTTAACAGAGCCTCAGGCAGCCGCCTCGGCCCCCACCCTCCAGCATAGTGTGGGACTGAGCCTCCGAAATGCATCCTGCTGCCCAAATCAAATTGCTCACTTAATAATTAATGTTCCTGCAATGGAATCACTTTCTCCCTGGAGGTTGACTTCAGATTTACCAGACACGCTGACAACACTGCACTCCTTATTCTCGCCACAAGACCTCAGCTTCTGCTTTAAAAAGGTCTGAATAAAGGATGCTTTTGTTCATACCTCGCCTGCCTGTGATATAGTGACACAGTGTCTGATGGCTGAATGGAATAGTTTTACAGTATGAGTGCTGCTTTCAGCGGAGGGGCAGGACTTGGGCTTTAGGAGGAAGTGAATTGGATAGGTCAGGAGAATGTACCATTCGTAAACACCCCTTTCCTTTTTTATTCACGTGTCAGGGCAGCAGCAGCAGCAGGCTGCTCAGTGTCCACCCCTGGGAAGTGCCAGAGGGAAAGCAGCTTGGACTTCAGCTGCAGATTTTAGACCTTCATTTGATTCCCCCGGAGAGCTTGTCAAGTCCTTGGACTTCTTGCCTTAGAAGCTATTTGGAAACTAACATGGTTTAGTCCACTAACTGCATGTTGGGTAAATTCAAAACCCACATGCTCGTCCTCTTGCAGTGGAATAAGTCACATCTGATGGACATTTTCTGTGCTTATAGCATAGTAATGAACGTCTGACAGGCGCGACCTTTCATAAGACAACCCACACTATTGGCTTTCTGCCCAGAATATTGCTGCAACACTATCTGTGATTGGTTATCTCTTTATCATGCATTGCTTCACAAGGGGAAACGGCCCCCTTTTTAATAAATCTACGATGGCTGGCTGCAATATGCCTCACTGTAAGTATTTTGCGTGTGTGTGTATGTGTGTGTGAGAGAGAGGGAGAGAGAGAGAGAGAGAGAGAGAGAGAAGAGAGAGACAGAGAGAAGAGAGAGGCAGAGAGACAGAAAGAGAGGCTGACTTTGAGTTGCTTAGTCTGGTAACACATGGCAAGGTTGTGGTACTATAGGACATTAGTGAATGCTACTTAGTAAATCTTAACCTATCTCTTTTCTCTACAGGTTGGTACTAAGAAGTGCCTTTCCTGACGTCTCTGCTGCTTGGAACCGCTTCTAGAGCAGCCTCTGCTTTTGCCTTGCTTGCTGCCAGCTAGACTGTGACGACAGCACATCCGCCCTCCACCTCTAGCCCAGACACCCCATTTCTACTTCTAATCAGGAGAAAAGCTCTGAGTATCTGCCATTGCCCTAGGCTGCTTTAGTTTAGAAGAAAAGTTTGCTGAAAAAGTAAGATACCTTCTGCCAGGAAATCAAGGAGGAAAAAAAAAATCATTTTCTCGATTTTGCTCTAAACTGCTGCATCTGTCTATGCCAAACTAATCAATACCGATTGCACCACCAAACTCCATCGCAAATTCAGCTGTGAGGAGATTCCCTGTCAGACAACTTTGCTGAGAGCAGCTTGGAAATTCGGTGTCAGAGGGTCTGCCACGTTTTCATGCTTGCATTTTGGGCTCCAAATTGGCACTGGGAAGGGGTTACTGAGCACAAGGCTGATTCCAGGCCCTCCTGTAAACACCCATCCACTCACAGTCCTGGTATTCCTCTAAAAACCAAAACCTCTTTGAATTAACAGTTTCATGCTGTGAATTTCTAGTGGAGGTCTAGTGATATTGAAGTCACACTTTTCCACGTGCCGTGAAAGCAGGGAGTGGGGAAGCAGCCTTCTGGACATTTTCATTGCCATTTCACACTTCTGAGTTTTATCAGTTCTTATCTTGTTTTGTTTTTGTTTTTTGTTTTTTTTTTGTTGTTGTTGTTTTGTTTTGGTTACTGATTTTTCTTTTTTTCTTTTTTTTTTTTTTTGAGAGGGGTTGGGTTTGTTGGTTTCATTGACCATTTAACTACCTGTAAAATATAAACATGGCTGTTAGTGTCACACCAATTCGGGACACAAAATGGCTAACACTGGAAGTATGTAGAGAGTTTCAAAGAGGGACTTGCTCACGGCCAGACACGGAGTGTAAATTTGCACACCCTTCGAAAAGCTGCCAAGTTGAAAATGGACGAGTAATCGCCTGCTTTGATTCACTGAAAGTGAGTAAATATTCTGTACTTCTGAGGGTACTCAGTGGTTGATTAAGGGGCATGGGCACACGGTACAGTAACTCTGGGATTATGGATTGCTTTGTTAACATTCTAGTTATGCAGTGTGTTCTGGTTCATGTGTTGGGCTGGGACACTCAATGAGATGTCATAGAACCGAGTCCGGCCAAACTTACAAGGAACTTTACCAGGCCTTGAACTCCAGATGCCTTAATTTTTTTCCCCCCTAGAGCAGAAAGTGTTGTGTACCTATGCAGTTGTAATAGGATGATAACGAAGTGTGATCTTTGTTCAGCAATGGTAAATGTTCATGTCCAGCACTTTCATGTGTTAGAATAAGGCCAAGACGATCACTGATTGAATATGAGTTGTTTTCCTTTGCTGGTAAACTTTTCAAGTCGTTAGAAATGAATGGCAGATTCTATGGATACATCTTTACTTTTCTGTGAGATAATTTTTAGTGGCTTTTGGGGAAACTTGACTAGATGTAAGATTTCTTTCAGTTGCTATAGTAGCTTATGTGAACCACCTACTTTATTGAATGTGGTTTTTATATGTAGGTATGAATCAAATAGTGCTGTTCATTAGATTTTTCATACTGAGGAAACACATATGTTCTTTTCCTGTGAGAGTCTTGCCAGTTGTTACTTACTATGTTCTTGGTCAGAAATGTTCATAGTTAGCTTTGTTTGCATGGTAAGAAGAAAAGATTTATGTTAGCATGTTTATCGAGTTTGAAATGGATCTTGTAAAAGATTGCAAGCATGTCTTTATTTTGAAATGCAAGGGCAAGAATAGAAATGTGTTCTGGGGTACCTTCTACTTACTTGGTTTAATCAGATGGATTTTTGAATACTAAACACCTGCAGTTAATTCTTTGACACTTCCAAGATCCTATATACATCTGTAAAGAAGTCTCATAGTTCCATCATATCTTTTTGAAAACACAGCATACTGTGATTCCAGTGCTGTTTTCACCACAGCAGGGTGAGTTAGAGGTTAACTGTTTCACCCGGTTGCTTTTAGTTCACTTTGGGATTCTCACTTTGGTTTACTTTAGTTTTTTGCCAAGGATTTTAAAATTTCAGTCTTTAGAATAGGCTAAGAGGAGGTGTGTGGTAGTAACCACAGATCTGTGTCAGGACGGCAGGCTATGAGCAGAGCCCTAGAGACAGGTAAGCAGGGGCTGTCAATTACTACTGCCCCTGCCTTGGCCTTGAAACACGTTGATAAAGGCACAGCATTGAGACATTCGTGAAAGTCAGTCCTAAATCAATGGTCAGGAATTCAGGGAGACAGGGATCCATCAAATGAAGCAGAGGACTAATTGCTCTTGTCGGTAACCAGCCGTGTTCATAAGTAACTCCTTTATGACCCAATTCCTAGTAAATCCAGTTTTTAATCCTATAGATAATTCTTGGTGAACTCCTAGCTATAAAATGAAGGACATTACTTTTGGCTGTGATGTTAAATGGTTTCACAGAAGACCTGCCTACACAGGGTTTGGAAACATTGTGAGCTATTAATATTCAGTTTCTATTTTTCCACGTCCAAATATTTTTTTTTAAGTTACTATTCACTTGTGGTCAGAGAACAGTTCCCCCTTAAGTAAAGTAGCAATCTTACAGACACGCTGTGTGGTTAACGAGATTCAACCGCCACATCAAGGACTTTTTTAAAAAGCAACAACAACAAAAAGAATGTTAAGTTTTAAAATCTATTTGTGAAATGATTTTATTATACCAGTAATCACAGCAAAGTCCATCCCTTTCCTTTGGTTTTCTAAAATAGGCTGAAATTTATAGTTTAAAAATTTTTTAAATTTGGTAAAATGTTTTTTTATTTGATTAGACAGACAAATTAACACAAATTTATTTATAATAGAATTTTATACCCAGACAATAGCTCCTTAAATGTTAGTGAAATAAGTAATAAGAATCAATCAACTCTGTTTGGATGTTCAGTTAAGTATTTTTGTCTCATGTGTCACTGAAAGAGCCCTTCTTCTTTATATGGTGTTTGGAATTCTACCTTTTAGCTAGTAGTCTTCTGGTGTTCATGTTTGTGGCTAAAATAGATCCAGAACACATCTTAAAACACTTAAGTATCCGTGTGACTCATGCTCGAAGTTCTGAAGTTTGGAGCATTCTGAGGCTTGCAACCAGCAGATCATCTCCCTGGTCTCAGAGTAAACAGACGTTTTACAAGTAAAACTCATAATAGCCTGACTTCTTTAATGAAATCTGCTTTTTGTATTGCTTTTAATCCCTGTTCCAGCCTCTTTTGAGTTCTTGAGCCATGAGATGGAGGTAGCTTGTGTAATCTACTATTTTTAGAAAGTTAGGAAAGCAAACCAAATACTCTCTGAGAGGACCCTGTGAAATGGCTGTACCCTTCAGCTGTGCTGTTTCAGACTTTGGCTGAGCTCCCAGGTGACTTAGGTTTATAGCTGACTTCTGGTTAGAAGAAGAGAATTCCCTCATTCCCTGGCCCCCAACACACACAAGCATGTGCGTGTGCACGCGCATGCGCGCGCGCGCGCGCGCGCGCACACACACACACCAAGTTTAACAGTAGAAAAGTGTTTATCTAAAGAAATCATTAGGCATATTACTGGAGATTATGAGGAGAAAATTAGCTGATAGGGTTTCATTGGCACTGTGGTGATGTTAAGATTTAAGGGTGGGATTAAGGTTAGGTGTAGTACAGCAAAGCAGCTCTACTTCATAATAAATGTGTTACAACGGTTGGACTGTGGTAAGTAGGAATATATGTGCCTACTACATCTTTCCAAATGTAAATATGAAAACTAAAGATGAGTTTATAAATTAAACTCAAGTGTATAAATTAAATAACATATAAGTGCTTTATTAATTTAATTTTTATTTGCACGTGTAGTTTAAATTTATGGTAGTCTACAAGTGACTTCTGCCTATGGCTTGAAGGGCTTATCACTTGCAGGTCCGTGTGCACGAGGCACTGCAGATATTCAGAACAGTTGACTAAGTGCATCATTGTTTTCTGTAGAAGGTTTTTGTGGCTTATGAATGGGTCTCCCAAAGAGAAAAAAACAGATGGGAAGAGAAGGTCCCAGCACTACAAGCTGCCGGCAGAATGATGCCCTGTTTCAGTAGTGGTCTTTCCAGTCATGTTTATGCAGTGCTGCTCTGGCCTGGTCACTCAGCTTCAAGTTCAGAGATTATGGGAAGAGTGGACGGAATGTATTTTTGTGTGGAGGTGAATGTATATAGGCTCAAAAGTGAAATGTTTACTATGTCGTCCGTAGAGATGAACCTCTGGTGTTAACATCTGCATTAGACAGTAGGACTGATTTGATGAGATTCCCTCAAAGTAATGAAGTTAATTTCAGAATATCTCCTGTTATTACCACAGAGTATTGGCACCATAATAATGGCTAGTATCATTGCTGTTCTTTTAGAGATACCAGATCATGGTCTTTTCATCATGTTTTACGAACAATTTTATCTGAAGATTCTGGCAAAATGAAATGCATGAGATATGCAAGTCCATTCAGTTTTGCACTATAATTTCAATGTTGTATATTCCTACTTGCACCGACTCCTGCTAAGCATTTGATGCCCTCTTCCTGACAGCGCTTCCCATGCGGTGTTCAGTTTGAAAAGACGTTCACATCTTGTATTCTAAAGCTTGTTTCCTTCAGCGAGCGGTTGACACAGCAGGTCCTGGTCCTACAGTAATGCTCTCAGAGACGGATTCACAGAAAGACACAGCTTGTGAAGCAGCGTTACTGGCTTTCACTTTTCTTCCAGTAAGCAGAAACTTCACAACTCTTGAGATGTTCCTGTGCCTGTGTGGCAAAATCATTAATTCTGACAGGAACATTTCTGTAACAAAATGCCCAGTAGTTATAGCTGCTTCAGCAGTCCTAATAATAACTGTAGACATGTGCCTGTTCGTGTCCTTAAATTCTTTAGAAATATATTTTTATTCACTTTTTTCTTATTTTTGAGATTATACTATAGTTATAGTATTTCTCCCTTCTATTTTCTCCCTCCAAACCTTCCAGTATACTCCTCATGCTCTTTTCCAGACTCATGGCCTCTTTTTTTATTAATTGTTGTTACATGCAAATACACTCACACACACACACACACACACACACACACACACACACTTGTATTTTTCCTCTAAACACGAAAGTACAACCTGCTCCATCTATATAACGTTACATGTATGTATGTTTTCAGGTATTGGGTAACCAATTACTGTGCTCTTCCCTGAGTAGTATTTCTCGTACTCTGAAGATTCCTTACTTGCCTGTAGTTCTTTGTGTAGTGTTGAGGCCTCCTGGTATTTCCCCTGTTCACTTTGGCATGCCTCTTGTTATTGTCCTAGCATACACGTAAGCCGTCATGTTGATACAAACTTTATGGGTGAGTGCCTGACATTATGAGGAGACACAGTCTCACAACAAACTCCCTGGCTCTCTGGCTCTTGATAATCTTTCCAACCCCTCTTCTATGTTCCGTGAGCCTTAGGTGCAGGGCTGTTTTGTAGATGTAGCCACTGGGAATGGCCTATCCAACTCTGCATTTTGATTGGTGTGGTTTAGAGAGCTATCTTAACTGAGTGATTATTTTTTAAACTATCAGACAAACAAAATGGAAGATGTAAAACTACTTAAGGCTGTTTTCCTTTCTTTTGTAAGAATTTAACATACTGCTTTTCCCTTTTCCTCATTAAATCTGTGTTAGAGTGATCAAGGGAAAACTACTTTAACCCAAATTATCATAGAGTGTTAACAGGTTCAAAGTTTGCCTGCCTGTCAGTTTGTCTGCAAGTACTCACATTCATTCAGTAGCCTCCTAGCAGGGCTGTGGAAGTTCTCTGTGATCTGTAGAGTAAACCTAGTGTCAGGGGAGTGGAGCACGCGTCCAGTTCACGTGCTTCCAAACAGGGAGTGCTTCTCAGACCCAAGGACACACAGGGACCTAGGGTGTGTTGTTTAT